TGGAGGGGACGGAGAGCGAGGCTGGGGCTCGAGCTTGAGCGCTGAGGGTGGGGGGTCCCTTGCTACGTCTGTTTGCGGGCTGGGGCGCTCTCCCCCCGGGACGTGCGTGTGCTGTGGGCAGGAGAGGAGGCAGGGTTCCTGCCACTGGGTCTCCCCCCCCCCCCAATTTTGCCTGGTCTCCTGCAGAGTATTTCCAGTGCCACCCTTAAACCGCGATGACGTCTCTGAACAAGAAATTCAGTTGCCTTCACAGAGGAGCCAAGTTTCTTGCCCATTATTTCAGGATTTTTATTTATTTATTTATTTATTTTTTTGTGTAATTTATGGTCTGTTATTATTTCAATCCGAGCTCTACATAAATCGGAGTCTGAGCTGTTTACTCCCAGGCTGGCAGCAAGGCACCCAGACACATTGTGCTGGGCTGCGCCCGGGTGCTGAGCTTAGCATCGTCTCTTCCTGGATTATATGTGGGTCATCATTTCTTTTGTGCAATGCTTCCATTTTTTTTTTTTAAACACACAGACACACTTGTTCATTTTATTTCACCCCATCACTGGAGCGAACTGCTTTCTCCTCCACTCCCCCCCCCCTCCTTTTACCATGTCTGGCACAAATGTAAAATACACTTCAGCTTAAAGGTAGGAAGAAATCTCTTTGGAAAGCAGCAGCTCTGTGCTTAGCAAGCCCTGGTCTGGCTGATTATATAGTACAGCTTGAAATGATCTCAACCAGCGGAATATTAATCAAATCAATCAGGGTTGACAAATGAGAAATATTCGCGGGAAGGTGGTAATTTACAACTTTGTTATTAGTTAAGAATCTCCCGCCTTGTAAGAGTAATTAATAACTCTTGGATGGGAACAATTTGGAGCCGGAAAGGAGACAGCGGCTTGCCATGAAATAAAGAGAGGGGCTGAAAAGTGAGGGATGCTTCTGGAGGGGGGGAGCACACATACACATGGTTGGAAAAAAGGAGAGGCAGAGGGGCAGATGCACACGCACGCACCGCACCCGCGCACGCGGAGAGGGACCAGGCAGGGGAGGAAGGACTGGAGGGAAAAGAGGAACCCGAACATTGGTTCTTGAAGTCACTTCTCGCAGCCAAAGATTAAGCGCAGTGCTGGATTTCAAAGTACTTCAAAGAAATTACACCCACTAGGAAAAGTGCAAGTCAGGTACCAAGGAGTGACTCCAAACTGATCAGAGAAAGGGTTTTTTTTCTCTCTTTCTCTCTTTTTTTTTTATGTCTGAGAAATGTGAAGACCTCTTTCTCCCAAACTCCAGCTCGGAGGGGGGAAACTCAATTGTCTTTAATGTTTATAGTGTTAACCCTCCTTATCTTCACAGCCACCCCCCACCCCTCCCTCTTCTTTTCCCATAGACACACATTGATTATTAGACTGTATGCCCCCCCTCCGCTCACCCCCCAAGCCCACCTTAAACAACTGACCAAAATAATGACTGGTTGGAAAACTATAAATCATTTTCGTGTTTGAAACCATGAAGACTCGATTTAAGTAAATAGGCTTACTGTGAAACAATGCATAGATCCAAGTCCTTCTCCGAGTTCCTTTCCAAACGCTGCCATCTCCAAAACTTTTATTTACAAGAGAAGAAGAAAAAAAAAACTTTGGCAAACTTTATCTCTTCTTTATTATAAGCTCCAGCCTTGCCTTGGTAAGCTTCAGCCTGCTCTACAAAAGGTGGCTAGAGATTGAGATTTATTGGTTTCCAAATGAAAAGATTCATTCGATATAAGAGGTTAACTCAAAGTTCCTTAAACCGTGACTAGCATTGGCAAGAAGCATTGCCTACTCAGCACAAAGGCAGTTCAAAGAAACCTTTAAAAATACACACAGATATACATACACACAAACACACTCTCACACTTTAGCCTCAACTGCAATTTTCTTTTCATTTTTGTTTCTTTCTGCCATTACAAAGCCCTGAGCCCCTTTGTAGGTAGCTGGAGGGCTTTTTTTTTTTCAAGATGAACTTTGCCATTTTAGTGTTGACCAACCCCCGCTTCTTTTGCAACCTAGTGAATGAAAAGACTCAAGGAAAGAAAAAAAAAGATTAAGAAGTAAACGGGGTTAGGGAGGGGTGTGGGGAATCCGTTTAATTTAGAGAGAGAACAAGATTTAAATATATATATATATATCTCTAGGGACCAAATAAAAGTCAGAAAGAGCCATACAAAGGGGGGGGTATAAAATAATATAGAAGGGGTGCTATGTGGGGCAAAGATACACACACACGGGAAGCGAAGAGGAGGTGGCATCAAGTGTAGTGTGTCCAGGCTCAGCCTGGAGCGAGATAGAGGGTTGACATGACACATGTGTGTCTGTGTGTGTGTGTGTCTGGGAGACGGCGGGGATGGGAGCGGGGGACACACACACACGCACGCACGCACGCACACGCACCCGCACAGAGCCAGCCAGAAGCTGTGAAGCTATAGGCAGGATCCTGTGTGTGGAGCCCGGGCTATGGAAATGCTAATGAGGGAAAATTAACCCGGCCGTTTGTTACATTGCAGCGAGATCAATGCCTGACCCGGGGGCTGCAGGGATAGCTTACTTCTGTAGGAAAGATATGAGATAATCGCCCTGAAAGGCGCGAGTGCGGAGCCGACCAGGCCCAAATATGAATATAGCGTTTGCAAAAAGAAAAAAAAAAAAAAAAAGGTCTTTCTTCTTATTTTTAAAGTCCTTTCCATCGCGGGAGGGAAGATCAACGGTGGAAGGAGAGCCCCAGTGCTTCCCCCCCCAAGGGAATGAGGCATCTCTCCATGTCACTCGTCCCAAGCAGGGACAGCGGATCCAAACCCACCAGGACCCCTCCCTTCCCCCACTGCAGCAAGGAGCCCTCGGCTTGCAGGGGCCCCAGAGCATCCTCCTGCTGCCCGGGCTGGCCCTGGCTGTGTTGTCCAAGCAGAGAGAGAAAGAGCAAGTTCTTCCCTGGGGCTCATCACTCCCGGGCACGTTATTATTATTATTATTATTATTATTATTATTATTATTACTGGTTTTCACACGCCTGCAGGCAGGGTGAGGTGCCTGCGTCCCGCGGGCTGCGCCTGCCCAAGGGGCGAGCAAAGAGCTTGACCCCTGCGCTGTACAGTGCTTGCAAGGCACCCTCCAAATGCGACCCAAGGACGGGCGGGGGCTTCCGCCGGAGGAGGGGGGCTGTCTCCAAAGCAGGCAGCCGAGGGTCCCCGCACTGGCTGGGGGGTAGAGCTGGTGCCTTCTCTTTGCGGCTGGAAGTAAGACATCACCCAGCCCGCGATGTTGTTCGCAGTGACAGTGCACGGCGAAGGATGCTGTGGCGGGGGGACAAGAAGGGGGCAAGGGGAGGATTTGCCAGGAGGAGGTGGCGATAAAGAAGAGATCAGAGCAGCCTGGATGTGCCAAGGCACAAGATGCCCAGCACCCGGGCGCTGACCCGCCTCAATGGCAGCACGTTGTCTGTGCCTTGAATGAAGCGGAGCAAACTTCCTGGGGTAGCAGCTTGATCCCGCTCCGTGACTTAGCTGTGAAACCAGGGCGAGGCTTTTGCCTGGGGGCACTTGGGGTTCCTGGAAAGCCACGTTGCCCAGAGTTGGTCTCAAATACCCCCAGCAAAATGGCCAAGTCCTGTCAAGGGCGAGAAGGAAAGTTTAGGTCAGAGTACAGTGCATTTGCAAGGAGTCGTTAATTAGTAATGTTGGTGGAGTTGAGGCAGGCACTTGTTGGCTGAGATTAGATTATGGAGGAAGGAAAAACTTGTGTGTGGAATATATTACGTCTTCCACCGAGGACGCCTTCCTCGTCGAGGGGAAAAAAAAAAAAGACCCGAGACGAACAGCGATCTCGGTGAAAGAAAGAAAGGAAGAAATGTCGCCACTGCAGACGCCAGGAGGCACAGGGCACAGCTCCCTATCTCTTCCATTGATTAAACTGTACCCCCACCCCCCAAAAATAACCCACCCCTGGCAGTACACTCAGCCCATCACCCCGATGCAAGCTGGTGAATCTCTGCCAGGAAAAAAGGTCTGGGTGCAGATCATCCTCCGTGGTCAGGGCGCGAGAGAGATGTTACATAGTCACATCCGCATTAAAAACAAGCTGCGGAGTGGAGGGCAGCGCAAGGTGGGCTGCCTCTCGCCTCTGCGGCTCGTGGAGAAGCCAGGGTTGGCTTCGCTGCTGGACAGGTTGAAAGGCAAGGAGGAAAGGGCTGCGGCGGGATCAAAAAAGAGGGGAGAAAAAACAATGCATGTCTAGGAGCCAGCACTGGAGGCGGGAGGGGAGAGAAGAAGTGGGGGCAAAAAACCTGATGCCATGAAGACAGGGGATTCCAGCAGGGATTCGTGCAGGAGGAGGAGAGAGCCACGCATCTTCTCGTTTCCAATACAGGAACCTCTGCAAAAAAAATCCAGCCCTCTCCGCGGGGGAGCAGGCGCTGCTGATGGCTTTTCCAGTTGGATTTTCCCCCCCCCCCCTTTTTTTTTTTTTTTTTTTAGCAACAAGTATCCCAAGATCTCAACTAATTGATTGTGGAGTTGCTTGGAATGGATCCAAAGAGCCATATAGTTTTAATTGTATGTTGCTTAAAACTCCATTTCTTGAACAGTGTGAAACAAGTCATAAAAGTCATAAAGCGTGCCACTGCCTCCCCCCCCTCCATAAATACGCCAGCGACACTCAGCAATCTTCCCTAATACTCCTAAGGGCTCCAAAAATAATTTCGAGGACATGTAACTACACCATAAAATTGGAAACCGTTAATCCGGTTTAACTGATTTAGCAAGCAGTTATGATATTTTTCGGGGGGGGGGGGGGGGGAAAAAAAATCCAAGCGAGTTCTTTGCTCTCTCCTACGAAGGAGAGAGATTTCCAGTCTCATTTGAACACACCCGTTGCAACCCCCCCCCCCACCAAAATCAACAAAACCCACCGAGGTGGCCTTAAGGAGTGTGGGGAAGCGGCTAATCAGGCCTTAAAAGTTTATGCACATCTTCCCCGATCCCTCGCTTGGAAAGCTAGCCAGCAGTCGTCATGGCCAAGCAGCCAAAAGCAACCTGAAGAAGCCAACTTTTTCAATTAAGAAGAACGTATTTTGATCATTAGAGGCAATGGCTATAAATAACAGAGTATTTCTTAAAAAAAAAAAAAAAAGAGAGAGAGAGAGAGAGGATCTATTGCTCCCCCCCCTCCCCTGCACACCCACACTTTTCACGTCTAAAATTAGCACAAAAACTCCGCACTTGAGAGGCAGTGAAATGTGCCTGCCAGCGGATTCAGGGGCTCTTTGCTGGGAGCCAGGGCCCGGGAAGCCGCAGCCGCAGCCCGCCGAGGCGTCGCAGCAAAAGCTGCGAGCTGGAAAGCTGCAAAATCCACGCAAACCTTTCTGCATCCCCCACTAGCCCACCCTTTGACACGGCTGCATTGAAGTTGGGGCTGCGAGGTCCTCGGAGGTCTCTGAGTGTGACAGTACTTAGAATAGCGGGTAGATGGCACAATTTTCTAACATTTAGAGAGAAGAGCCCACGCTGCGAGCAATAAGTCCATTTAAAAGCCCTTTATTTAAAAGGAACAAAGATAACTGACAAGCAAAGTACAGAGACATCTCAATGAAATTTCTTGAGAAGAATAAAAAAAAAAAAACCCTCTCTGCAAAGGGGAACCCCCCCCCCATCAAGATCTGGGTTTTATTTTGTTGGGTTGTTGGTTTGTTTGTTTGTTTTTAAGTACAAAAAACAACCCGCACCCTCCCCGCAAAAAAACCCCCTAACAAGCCAATATTGTTCCTGGAAGGGAGTATATTTAGATCGGGGTCCAGCAGAATAAAATATGGGCGGCTATTGTAAAGGAGGACATTCAGAAAATAGGGTTCGTGTTTCAGGATGAATGCAGCTCCAGCGAGCGCCTTGTTTAAAGGACTCCATCAAATCAGCACATGCATCTTGCAAGAGAAAGATCTGGACAAGGAGCTGGGCTTGTGGGGGAGGGACCGGGGGGGTGGGGAGACAGGAGGTGCTGGTAGAGCCGCTGGAGGAGAGGAAGGCTCCTCAGGGCGCCCCGGCTGGGGAGGGGAGCTTGCGGGACACTGTCGTGCCGGGGGGGGCAGCGCTTGGCG